CCTGAGGAGGGATCAACAAGCGCTACAGCGGCACGGGCGGCAAGCAGCCGGAGCGCAGTATGGTTGCAAAATTGCAAGCGGACGCATCAGAGTCTAGCGTCAAAGAGAGCGTGGCGGAAGCGGCCGCATGCAAAGGAGCTAGAGTGGAGCTGAGGCTAAACAAGGTAGGTGGTCCTACGCTTGACGCAGCAGGGGAACCTAGGCTACACAGAGGGAAGACACCTACACTAGGCAACACTGGGTAGTAGGGTCCAGTCACACTAGATTCATCAGTATACATGACATACATAGCAGACCTAATTTGATCCATGTCAAGCTCAAAGACAGGGACACGGCGACGCACCAGGCTGTACCAGTCGGGGGGGCCGACATGGGGCATGTCACAGGATCGAATGAGGTTTGCTCAATGTGTTGTGTGATGTCATCATATGCTATCACATTCTGTCTGCCTCCCATCCCATATTTTTTCAACTTGCATGTGTGGTTTGAACGTGTGCAAGAATTTGTGTGTGATGTGTTCTGGAGTTTGGGAATGTGTTTTGTGTTATTTTGTTTGAGCAGGTTTTTTGTGATGATAGATCTTGAGAAGATCTTTCCGACGCAACGAGAATCCCTTCAATCGGAGCAAGAACGCGAAAGCTATGAAGATTCAAAGTTCATGAGCTTGCGTTACAATTGCGGCGGTTACAAAGTGAAGTTGTGGGGTGACTCTATATGGAGTTGGGACCTTTGGGGGTTTGGGAAATTTGTCACTCACTGTAACAGCTGCAAATTGGTTGGGAACAACCAAGCTAGGTTGGCAAGGGTGGCCAACTTGGATGGATTGGTTGGGAAGGGACAAATGTCAAAGTTGGGGTTCCTATAGGGAGGGAATCTTTGTGCTTATGGGGTTTCCTTGGTTGGGGACTCTCTTGGGACCTTCCCTCTCATCCCTCTCTTCCTATCCCAACCTTTCTCTTGCTCCTTCTAATTCCTTGTGAGATTCTTGAACTTTGATTGAACCTTTGAGATTGAGTTAAGTTCTCCTCCTACAGCTTACCCCCTAGTGCGTCGAAAGCCATAGCGTCGCGAATACTTTATCAATCAACATGATTCAAATTGGGAACGGTAGCTGAGATTAAGAGCTACAACATATCCAAGTTTCGCGACATTCCAACGGCTAGTTGTTTGTCGACGTCGTTTCTTGTGAAGACGACTTTTCTGTCCAGAATTTCGGATTTATATTTTGAGTAATTCTAGCTCCTAAGTTCACCTAGACTCCGTCCTTAATCCTAACAAGTGGTATCAGAGCCATATTAAGGACATTGAGAGGAGTCTACAGAAGTGTGAAGACCCTTCTAGACCCACCATGGCCTGTGGGTGTGCCTAAGTGGTGTTCTAAAGGTTGGATGTGTCTTCCGCTAAGGGGAAACTCTGCCGAAATTTCGTGGACGCCGATACTTGTGAAAATATCGAGGGAGCTGAGTGTGGACAGCAAAGGGGAGCTGAAATTCGTCATTTCTCAAGGAGAAGATGAATGAGAGAGGAGGAGATGCTAATGGAAGAGGAGCTGTAGCTGAGAAGACAAGTGAGCCGCCGCCATCAAAAGTTGAAGCTTTGGATGGCTCCAACTATGAGGAATGGAGCGGACGGATGAGGAGTGCCTTCAAACGCTACAAGCTACTGAAGATTGCTGTTGGGGAAGAGAAGATGCCGGAAGAAGGCGAAGCACGCGAACGGTGGATTGAGAAAAGCGCGGTGCTTTTCGACCTCATCCTTCAATCGGTCAACAAGGAGATGTTCGAGCACATCAAGGATCTTGTGGAAGCGGATGATTCGGGTCCAAGGGCGTGGAAACTACTACGTGATGTGATTCAGCCCAACACTCTCCCAATGGTGATCGTGCTCGAGAAGGAACTTGCTGCCATCTCCATGCGACCAGGGGACGATGTGAAGCCGGTCCTTGACAAGATCAAGGACACCTATGCAAGGATGGCAGCAGCGGGCAGTAGTGTATCTCAGCTGCAGCAGTGCACCAAGATCATCTCGGTGTTGGACAACTCTTGGGACAACCTCATCCCCACCCTCAACTCTCAACAAGATCAATGGACACCTGAGTGGCTAAGGCAGCAGATTCTGCAGGAGGACTTCCGCAGACGCCATGTGGGAGGCGGTGCTGCCACTAAGACTGCTGAGGGGTATGGAGCTGCAGGGCGCGGCAGAGGAAGAGGGGGTTGGAGAGGCCGAGGCCGTGGGAGGAGCTTTGGCAGAGGTAGAGGCCGAGGTGACTATAATGAGGGGCATGGGAGCTCTAGTGGCAGGGGGAGTACCAGAATGGAGGGCACCTGCTGGTACTGCAAGAAGATAGGGCATCCTTGGTTCAAGTGCTTCAGCAGGCCGGAGGGATGGGCACCTCCAGGCATGAAGCCACCCAGTGGTGAACGCGCACAAGGTGGCGCTGTGCAAGGCTCAGGTGCACAAGGTGAAGGTGCACAAGGTAATGCCTATCCTGGTTTGTTTCTTATGGTTGAGGATGTGCATGGGCATGAGGGTGATGTGGGATTTGTGGGAAAGGTTGTGATGCACCCTCTCACGCACTGGGTGATTGATTCGGGTTGCACCAGTCACATGACCCCACGGGCAGATTTGCTTGATGAGGTAAAACCCCCTGGGAAGATTAAGTATGTGGCAGCAGCGTCAGGTGCTTTGCTCCCCGTGATTGGTGTTGGGAATGCCAAGGTTAAGGGAGCTAATGGGGAGCTTGTGGGGCTTGGGAATGTTCTGCTGGTTAAAGGCTTGTCTGCTAACCTTCTCTCTGTGCGGCGGCTGCAGAAGAGTAAGGCCGAAGTGACCTTTGGACCAACCAGCTGCCGTGCTAAGCTTGGGAAGAAGGTGCTGTGGAGTCTGGAAGAGGAGACCAGCTGCATCAAGGACCTGTGGCAGCTGCCCATCATCCCTTGGAATGGGAAGACTCCAACAGCAGCAACGGCAGCAGTGGCAAAGGCAACAGCAGGAGGAGATGCAACTGCACCAACTGATGGGGTCCTGGAAGCAGTCAAGAAAGTGCAGCAGCAGCAGACACATGGTGAGGTGCTTGCTGGTGTGGATGCGAGTGCGGCATGGGCTAAGGCTTCATCAAGGAGTGGAGAGGCCGATTGGGAGACATGGCATGAGAGGTTGTGTCATGTGAACTTCCCTATGCTGCAGAAGTTGGTGAAGAATGGGAGCCTGAAGGGCTTGGAGGTGAAAGGGGAAGTGAAGGAGATTGGGAGCTGCCCTACATGCTTGGAGACCAAGTTCTCCAAGTTCCCCTTCAACAGTGCAACTGGACCATCCAAGACCCCACTTGCACTTGTGCACATGGATGTGGTGGGGCCCACAAGAGCCCCTTCCCTCTCAGGCAGCCGCTATTTCTTGACAATTGTGGATGACCACACTCGGGCAGTGTGGGTTTACCCTTTGAAGAGCAAGGGGGAGGTGGCAGCGGCTGTCCTTAAAGAGTGGATGCCGAGAGCTCAGAGGGAATGCGGACACAAGGTGAAGGTGATCCGTAGTGACAATGGTGGGGAGTTCATTGGAGCTGATTTTGAGGGGGAGTTGAAGAGGAAGGGGATCCAGCATCAACTGACAGTGCCCTACAACCCACAGCAGAATGGCGTGGCTGAGAGGTTCAACAGGACCCTGCAGGAGGGGGCACGCACTCTCCTTGGGCGTGCAGGGCTGCCTGATCCGTTTTGGGTGTCTGCACTGAGGCAGGTCGCCCTTGTGAAGAACAGGGTGCTGGCTACAGTTGGAGATAAGGAGTGGATCCCATACGTCAAGTGGTATGGGAGTGCTCCAGCTGTGAACATGCTGAGGGCATTTGGGTGCATGGTGGTGTTTCATGTGCCTAAGGAGAAAAGGGGGAAGTTGGAGGCTTCTGGAAGATGGGGTGTGCACTTGGGGATTGCAAAGGATCACAAGGGGTGGCTGCTATGGGACTTGACCACCCAGAAGTTGACAGTGTCAAGGGATGTGAAGTTTCTTGAGTCCCTGTACTACAAGGAATGGAAGCAGCAGCAACAGAAGCTTCCATCTACACCGCTCATTGTGGAGGCAGATGAGGTGCAGCAGCCTTCAAGACAGGTGGAGGTTGCAGTGTCAGAGGAGGAGATGTCTGGGGTGACTGAGGAAGGGGGAGCAGCTGAAGTAGAGCAGCAGCAGCAGCAGCAGCATGAGTCTCCACCTCGAGTTCCACACCCGCCTGAGCGTCCTAGGAGGGATGTGCGCCCTCCAGTGAGGCTGACCTATGGGGGAAGAGGCAAGCCGAATGTGGTGCAGGCTGGGAGTGTGGTTGAGCAGATTGAGGAAGATGAGATCGCTCACTGCTACTGGGCACCAATCCCTGAGCCCAAGACTCGAGAAGAGGCCTTGAATGGACCAAATGGGGAGAAGTGGAAGGCGAGTGAGGATGAGGAGTTCGGGTCCCTAATTGAGAACGAGACATGGGACCTGTGTGACTTGCCTCCTGGAAAGAAGGCAATCACTTCCAAGATGATCTACAGGCACAAGTATGGACCTGAAGGGGAGCTGACCCGCTACAAGTCTAGGCTTGTGGCACGGGGGTTTCAGCAGACAAAGGGGAAGGACTATGATGAGGTGTTTGCTCCTGTGGGGAAAGGAACAACATTGAGGGTGCTGTTGGCGATAGCTGCACTCCTGGGATGGAAGATTCGGCAGATGGACATTGTGACTGCCTTTCTGAATGGGATCATTCTGGAGGAGGTGTACATGAAGCAGCCAGAGGGGCTGGATGATGGGAGCGGCAGGGTCTGCAGGCTGAAGAAGGCCATCTATGGCCTTAAGCAGGCGCCTCGTGCATGGTATCACAAGTTGGAGGAGGCGCTGCTGGCTGGGGGTTTCAAGAAGAGTGAGTGTGACCCCAGCCTGTTCCTGCTGCAGGAGAAGGACGAAATCCTCATGCTCTTGGTGTATGTGGATGATATCCTTCTCTTTTCTGCATCAACTGCTTTGCTGGACAGCGCAGAGCAGATGCTGGAGATGCAGTTCAAGTGCTCCAAGATGGGTGAGGCGAAGTACTACTTGGGGATGCACGTGGAGAGAGATGTGGAAAAGGGTGTGCTGAGGTTGCACCAGAGGAAGTACTGTGAGGGGCTGGCTGAGAAGTATGGGCTGCAAGATGGGGGAAAGCCAGCAACACCACTACCTTCGGGGTTCACTGTGGAGCCATGTGCTGATGAGGAGGTAGTGGGTGATAGTGACAGGAAGCTGTTTCATTCGATGGTTGGGTCGCTGAATTATGCTGCAAATCATACACGGCCTGACATTGCATTTGCTACATCACGATTGGCTAGTGTGGTCTCACGCCCTAGTCATGAGCAGCTGGAAGCGGCCAAGAGGTTGGTCCGCTATGTGAGCGCTACGGCATCAGTGGGATTGGAGTACAGTGGAGTGAGGCAGCGGTTGCAGAGAGGTGCTGCAGATGTGAAGAGTGGAGAGATGCTCTTGAGTTGCTATACTGACGCTAGCTTCAACTCAGTGAAAGCGGATGGCACCAGCATTGGGGGTTATGTGTGCTTGCTAGGAGGTGGTGCTGTGAGCTGGCGCAGCAAGAAGCAGAATGAGGTGGGATTGTCCTCATGTGAGACTGAGTACATGGCCTTACACCATGGGGCCAAGGAAGTAGTGTGGCTAAGGCGTTTGTTGGAGGAGTTGGGAGTTGGTCAGGAGAAGCCGACAGTTGTGTTTTGTGACAATGAGTCCGCTGTGAAGCTCGCCAAGAATGCTTGTCTGCATGGGCTGACAAAACACATAAGGCCTAAGTGGCATTGGGTGAGGAGACTCCTTGATAAGGAGGTGCGGCTGGAGATAGTGAAGACCCATCAGCAGGCAGCAGATATTTTCACCAAGCGTCTGGCGGAGGCGGATCATTGGAAGGGCATGAAGCTTGCTGGGATGAGTGTGCATTGAGTATGCATGCTTGAGATGTTGGTATGGTGGATGATGGTTGGCAGCCAGAGGGGGAGATTGTTGTGTGATGTCATCATATGCTATCACATTCTGTCTGCCTCCCATCCCATATTTTTTCAACTTGCATGTGTGGTTTGAACGTGTGCAAGAATTTGTGTGTGATGTGTTCTGGAGTTTGGGAATGTGTTTTGTGTTATTTTGTTTGAGCAGGTTTTTTGTGATGATAGATCTTGAGAAGATCTTTCCGACGCAACGAGAATCCCTTCAATCGGAGCAAGAACGCGAAAGCTATGAAGATTCAAAGTTCATGAGCTTGCGTTACAATTGCGGCGGTTACAAAGTGAAGTTGTGGGGTGACTCTATATGGAGTTGGGACCTTTGGGGGTTTGGGAAATTTGTCACTCACTGTAACAGCTGCAAATTGGTTGGGAACAACCAAGCTAGGTTGGCAAGGGTGGCCAACTTGGATGGATTGGTTGGGAAGGGACAAATGTCAAAGTTGGGGTTCCTATAGGGAGGGAATCTTTGTGCTTATGGGGTTTCCTTGGTTGGGGACTCTCTTGGGACCTTCCCTCTCATCCCTCTCTTCCTATCCCAACCTTTCTCTTGCTCCTTCTAATTCCTTGTGAGATTCTTGAACTTTGATTGAACCTTTGAGATTGAGTTAAGTTCTCCTCCTACAGCTTACCCCCTAGTGCGTCGAAAGCCATAGCGTCGCGAATACTTTATCAATCAACATGATTCAAATTGGGAACGGTAGCTGAGATTAAGAGCTACAACATATCCAAGTTTCGCGACATTCCAACGGCTAGTTGTTTGTCGACGTCGTTTCTTGTGAAGACGACTTTTCTGTCCAGAATTTCGGATTTATATTTTGAGTAATTCTAGCTCCTAAGTTCACCTAGACTCCGTCCTTAATCCTAACACAATGTTCCACTACCCATCAGTACAAGGTGCTTGCATACTTCCAGAGTACATCACGTAACCAGGTTTATCCTATCCAAAGGGAATAGACCCTTCTATAAATAGAATCACCCTGTGTATAGCCAGGCAAGGCTATTGGCTTGAAGGGATTACAGCTGAATTACGCTAGATATAGCGCGCCTGTACATCCCGAGCCTGGTCGGTGATATAATGATAATAACATGATAAACCGAAGGATAATGAGAAAGGAGGAATAGAAACCAAATGAGATGAGACAAGGACCAAATGAAGCAGGATAAAACAAGGGATGAAATAGATATGAAATATGGAAAGGGGAAATTGGTGTAACGGGGTCGTACTCTCACACTTCCCCCCCTCAAAGCTGGGTGGTAGAAGTAACACCCTGCTTGACAAGGTACTCGCGAAGAGGTGGACGGGCGTTACCCCTGTCAAATTCAAAGACGCAACTTCAGAAGGGTCATAACCCTTCCAGCAAAGAAAAAACTCATGAGTGCCATTCTGACGATGACGGGGCCCGAGCACGTATCTGTCCCATGGCGGCGAAGGTGGTTGGCATTCGGTGTAGAGTGTGTTCAGTCTTGATAGGGTTTATGAAGCTGGTATAGAAGGCGTTATGGATCTTCCAAGTTGCTGGTAGGCGGAAGCGGATGTTCACTAAAGTGAAATTTGCTTCAACGAGGATAGACCGACAGAAGCAAGGTTTAAGCTTGGATGGAAGATGGCTGATGTCGAGATTATGGTGTGGATAACTGTAGAGAAGGGCGGCTAAGTGCTTCTGCTATTGTTGGATGTTCAAGAGGCGCTTGTGTAGCCGATCTTCGAGATGGTGGACGATGGCGATGAAATCGTAAGCAAGTTGGACTGTAGCAAAAACTGCCTGTTGGTACGGAGTGAGCAAGCTCCGACCACAGGAAAGGAAGGATGGTGTGTATTGTTGTCAGTGATATATGGGCACGTGCAGGTCGTAGTTGGAAATGTGAGTGGTTGGAACAGTGTGCTATAACGTGGAGATGAATGGCTATGTTGTATTCTCTGTGCATGCTGTTACCCGCATCTGGTCCACGTGTGAAGATCACAAAGTGTTAGTGGTATGGCAGTCGTGTCATAGTATTGCGTCTGTAGCAGTGTTGTATCCGATACATGCGGCTTCTGTCACATGCTGGTCCATGCCTTGGTGTTGTTGTGAGTCGTACCCTCTCGGCATCGTAGTGCTGCTGGAATGGAGAGCAGAATCACTTGTAGTAACCATGTCCACCGCGCGGTCTGCTAGTCACAGTGCCTTCAGTACACAGCGCATGCGAAATGCTGCTCAGCGTATCCCTTGTGTTCAGAACCATGAGGGGTTGGTACTATAAACGCGGAGCTGGTAACTTCCAGAATCGGCACCAAACTACTTTTCCTCGATGGTTGCTCAAGCAAGGAATCTCAGCTGCGTAGATATCACACGGTGATGGGTTAGGACATCTGGGAATGTTAGGGCTATTCCCAAATAATCCTTTCCCACTTCCAAATACACATTGGTGACAGCCAATCCTGTATCACCTTATGCACTTCCCGTTTAGCACGGAGGCCATCGATAGGTCATTGGTGTCTGGGCGCACATATTGGGATAGGTCTTCTGGTGCCATCATGTGTTGACTCATTCTGTTCCTCTCCTTGAAAGAGCGTTGATGTCGAAGACGTCTCAGCTACTCAGCATCAGTGTTGAAGTCTGCTCCATTTCGGCAAACATGGGTGTTGTTGGAGATACGCGGAGTCCACTATCCGGAGTAGCATCGGCGCTCCATTTCATGCCTATCTGCTTCCGTGGAGTTGGTGCTGGTGATGGATTGGTTGCGACGCATGTATTCTGACTTTAAAGAGAGCCATATGCCATGAGGACTTGTATACCGGTAGAGTACAGTAGTCCTCCCATCCTCATAAGAGCAAATATCTCCTGCTCTTGAGGGTATATGGCATTGTCATGTTGTTCCCTCGCATAGTGGTATCCCCTTCCCACTAGCTGGAAATAAATATTGTGCCTGACCAGGACTTTACGATAATACTGGAATAAAATCCAGCGTTATCTCCATTGAGCGGAGAATTATCCATCAGGGTTTGGATATGACTGTTGTGCTGTGTCTTTTGCTACAGCGGTGGCAGCGGTTGCGACGATGGCGACAGCGGCAGCTGCTGCAGAGAATTCTCTCAACTCGTAGAGGTTGAAGGAAAATCCATCAACTCCCTTTCCCACTAGAGTGTTCCTGATTGGTGCAACAGGCGTCACTACCAGGAACACGTGCACATTGATACACATGTGTTGCTCCATTGCTGCCGGTGATAGTTTTATTTGAGGGTATGAAGAGATTTTGCTTCTCCCCTCAATGTATCCACGGATAGCAATTCCTGGTATGCTCATCCGTGCCTCCGATCTACAGTCGGTAGAGCACGTGATCGTGTTGTAGTAGTCCGCATCTCCCTCGTTCGTTGACACCTCATGTTGCTTGGCATTCTCCTACATCGTCAAAGTTACGCTGATGCTTGTAACGCTTTGGCTTCATATAGAATCGCCTCCAATGCATGTGCCATAGGGTCGCTAGTGAACGAATACTCCTCAATCTGTCAAGCATCTTGGCATGCACGGAAAAATATTTACGCAGGTCATTAACACCTGGAATCGCGACGCATGATTGGTGTGTCGCCTCATAAGGTTAATATTGAGACTGCTCCAATCAATCACTTTGGATGGCTGAGATTCTTGATGGAGAGCCGCCTGTCTTCAAGGCATGCTACGTCGCTCGAGGCTTCAGTCAGCGTGAGGGGGTGGACCTCTTTCAGACCTTCGCCCCGACCCCGAAAATGACCACTCTTCGGGCGCTGCTAAACGTAGCAGCACAGCGTGACTACGGGCTGCACTCTCTCGACTTCTCCACAGCTTTCCTCCGGGGCAGTCTACAAGAGCAGGTCTACCTGCGCCGCCCCCAAAGCTTCTCCGGTACCTTCCCCCCAGGCACCAAGTGGCTCCTCTGGTGCCCCGTCTACGGCTTGCGACAGGCGCCCCGTGAGTGGCACGACACGCTGCGTGCTACACTTGTTGACTTGCAGTTCTTCCCTTCGTCAGCAGGCCTCTCGCTCTTTGTCCGTTCCGGCCAGACTCCGTTCTACATCCTTGTCTACGTAGACGATCTGGTCTTTGCTACTGCAGAAAGAGACGCAGTGACCACAGTGAAGGCCGAGCTGCTGAGGAGACACACCTGCACTGACCTAGGAGAGCTG